CCAATCCTCAGCATCACATAAAACTGAGTATCGTGTCCAATGCTTATAATTCTAGCACTTGGGAGATGGAGGTGGGGGATCAGGAGTTCAAGGTCATCCCCTACCATATAACACAGAGTACTTGAGGGTAGCTTCGGCTACATGAGATTCCCCACCCCCCAGTTTAAAAACAAAGCCAAATCAGGCTGGGGTGTAGCTCAGCCTCCGAAGCCCTGGATCCCACCCCAGCACTGCATGAAATAGGTGTGGTGGTGCACACCCACAACCCAACCCTCGGAATCACAGGCAGGGGATTGACACTAATTTGGGGGCAGCGTAGGTTACAAAATGAGGCCCTGTCACAACAAAACAACATATGTATGTCTCACACCGTTCTGGAATTTTCCATAGAATGTTTTCTGGTTGCTGTTAACTGGAACTTCAGAAAGCAAACCCCTGGAGAAGTGGGGACCCCGTGCCAAGGGAGGTGCCTGAAGTCGTGGGTGTCAAGCCGAGGCTGAAATCCCACGGAAGGATGCTGCGGCTTAGAGTGGAGAGGCTGAACCTGCTCAGGTTGTCTAGGTGTTAACATCCCAGCGGACTGGGGCGGGAAATCCGCGGCGGGAAGAGCCGCCTGGGGCTGGGCACGAAACTAAGGAGCTGGGGTGACACCTAGTGGTGGAGTGCGGTTTGTGCAGGACGTGAGGTTTTGTGTGTGTGTGTGTGTGTGTGTGTGTGCATGTATTCGTGTGTGCATGTGTGTGTGTGTGTGCATGTATTCGTGTGTGCATGTGTGTGTGTGCACACAAGTGCACATACAAAGAACAGAAGTACCTCAACTAGGGCTCCTCAGAAGCACTCCAATTATTTTTTTGTTTTTAAATTTTAATCACATTTATTTATTTGGAGAGGGGAGAGTTCTTGGCCTGGTGCCCACATGGAAATCAGAGCATGTGGAGGTCAGATGATAATTTTTGGGACTCAGTTCTCTCACCGTTTGGGTTCCAGGGATGGAACTCAGGTCTTTTGGTTTGGGTTTGGCAGCAAGCCAATTTGGTCTCTGAACCTTCTCGCTGGCCTCATTTTTTTTTTTTTTTTTTTTTTTTTTTTAGCCTTTCCTGAAACACTCTCTGTAGCCCAGGCTGGCCTCGAACTCACAGATCTGCCTGCCTCTGCCTCCTGAGTGCTGGGATCAAAGGTGTGCGCCACCACCGCCACCTGGCTCCTCACTTGGTTTATTGAGAGAGAATCTCTCACTGACCTGGAGTTTGCCAAGTATGGCTGGCTGGCCAGCGAACCCGGGGTGACACACTGTGCTCCCACATTTAGAGAGCCAAGAATCTACGCCAACCCCTAGGATGGCAGCCAGCCCTGTCACACTTCATCCATCCACGCCTTAGGCCAATTTAAGAGGAAGCAGGAAACAGCAGGTTGGTGGGAACCCAGATTTGCTGAGGTGTGTTTGGAAAGCATATTCACCTCCACACCAGTAAACCCAGGTGTCTCCCGGTGCCTGATCCTTCACTCCTCACCGTGTGTGTGTGTGTGTGTGTGTGTGTGTGTGTGTGTGTGCGTGTGCGCGCGCGTGAAGGCCAGAGGTTGTCATCTGTGATCTTCCTAGGCCGCTCTCAGCTCTGTATTACATCATGAGCGTTCCATGAACCTGGAACATGCTGATTCGGTTCGTGTAGCAGGCCAGCAGCTCTGAGAATACCACTTCTACCGTATGAGTGCTGAGATTTCAAGCAGACCATGCCCACCTGACATTTCCATGGGCCCTGGGGATCTGAACTCAGGTCCTCGTGTTTGGGTGGCCAGCACTCTGCCCACTGAGCCGTTTCCCCGGTTCCTAATTTGTTTCCCTTTTTAGAAAATGGCATGTATTTGTTTATTTCCCCGTGGGCATGTCTGTCTGATCGTGGAGGTTAGAGGCCGGTTTCCAGAAGTCAGTTCTCTTTTTCATCATGTGAGTTTCTATCAGGGACCGAACTCAGGTCCTCTTGGCAGCAATCACCTTTATCTGCTAAACCAACTTGCCAGCCCCTTTACAATGATCTGTACCTCTGGATGCTCAGACCTACTTTGAAGACAGAACTATAAAATATCACTGTACAAAAATAAAGAAATCCAAAATCAAAATCAGTTGAGGCCATACAACTCCTCATCCCTGAAGCCCAGAGCGTTCTAGTTATCCTCAAGAAAAGCACAGTAAATACACCACCTTGTTTTCCTTGTTTCTCTGGTCCTTCCAGAGTAAGTCACTGAAGACGCGGAGAGATGGGACACAGCTTGCTGTGGAGTGTGTGGCGGTGCACAGGTGAAAGAGACAGATGCGAGCTGGGCATGGTGGTGCATGCCTTCGTCTTAGCCTCTTGGAGGCTACGGCGCAAAACTTGAAAGTTGCAGGCTGGCATAGACAACTGAGCAAAACTTCTTTGAAAATATAATAAGAAGGGTCTAGGGGCGTGGCTCAGCTGCAGAGCCCCTGCCTAGAAGCCCCCATGGAGGGGCTGGGGGCCTGGCTCAGTGTCATTGTGTGCAGTGTATTGTGTACAATACACAAGCATTGTATGCAGAGGATCATTTCCCATGCCGACATGAGCTGGAAGCACACCAGTTCTGGGGGTGGGAACTCAGGCTGAGTATGGATGGTACCTATGAGGCGTGAGGTTGGGGGTGAATGTGGATAGGGTTGCTGTGATCTGGCTAGAAAGACTGAATTCTAAGTTAAGGATTTCAGAATTCATCGAGTTGTTAGTAAGCAGTCACAAGGGCTGGAGAGACAACTCAGTGACTAAGAGCACTGGCTGTTCTTCCATAGAACCCAGGTTTGGTTCCCAGCACCCACATGGCAGCTAAAAACCATCCGTAACTACAGTTCCAGAGAGACTGATGCCCTTTTGTGACCTCCACAGGCACCAGGCACTCATGAGGTAAGCAGACATATATACAGGCAAAATACCCATACACATAAAATCAATAAATCACACATCTACACACACACACATGGACACACACAGACACACGGACACACATACACACAAAGATAAATGATCATAACACTCATCATGAGTTCAAGGCCATAACAAGACCTTGTCTCTCCAAATCAAAACAAACAAAGCTCCCCTGGGCTGTGCCGATGGCTCAGTTGGTGGAGTGCTGGCCTAGCTAGCGCACACCAAGCCCTGCACGCCATCTCCAGCATCACAGAGACGGTCTGATGTAGCACTCCTGTGGTGTCAGCACCGGGGAGTGGAAACAGGAGGATGAGGAGTTCAAAGTCATATTTGGCTATATAGCAAGTTTGAGGCTGTCTCAGGCTACATGAAACAATGTTTTTTGTATGTTTGTTTGGTTTTGCTTTTTTTTTTTTTTTTTCCCCCGAGACAGGGTTTCTCTGTGTAGCTTTGCGCCTTTCCTGGAACTCACTTGGTAGTCCAAGCTGGCCTCGAACCCACAGAGATCCGCCTGGCTCTGCCTCCCGAGTGCTGGGATTAAAGGCGTGCGCCACCACCACCCGGCTGGTTTTGCTTTTTTGAGACAAGGTTTCTCTGTGAATTTTTGGAGCCTGTCCTGGAACTTGCTCTGTAGACCAAGCTGGCCTCAAACTCACAAAGATCTGCCTGCCTCTGCCTCCCAAGTGCTGGGATTAAAGGTGTGCAGTCGCCGCCGCCACCGCCACCTGACTATGAAACAATATTTTAAAAAAGTAACCAACAGGAGCTGGAGAGATGGCTCAGAGGTTAAGAACATTGACTACTCTTCCAGAGGTCCTGAGTTCAATTCCCAGCAACCACGTGGTGGCTCACAACCATCTGTAATGAGATCTGGCGCCCTCTTCTGTATACATAATAAATAAATAAATCTTTAAAGAAAAAATCAATCAGTCAATCTATTAATTGTGACAATCTGCTATATATGACCAGAAGTGGGGATGCTAGGTTATTTAGGAAATCCTGCTGAAGTCTTCCAGTGTTGAAGAAATTTCTGTCAAAGCTGGGCATGGTGGCACACAATCCCAGCACTCAGGAGATAGAGGCAGGCGGAGGCCAACCTCATCTACAAAGTGAGTTCCACAACCTCCAGGAGTACATAGAAAAAAAAAAAAAAAAAAGACCTGGCTGCTCTAAGCTGACCTCTGACCCCCACACCCCCACTGGGCACACATCAAATAAATTAATAAATATTCTGGCAGTTGTGCAAATTGACCCTTCTGTCAGTCAGACTCCAGCTGTTTCACATCCTTTGGGTTCCTGGCCCTGGGATGACAGGTGTGAACCACCACCCCTGGTTTGTGTGGTGCTGGGGAATGGACCCAGAGCTTCATGTTAGGATGTTCTCTAGCCACAGAGTCAGATCCCCAGCCCTCTTTTTACTGTTTGTTTTGGGACAGGTTCTCATTCTTGATCTTCCTGCCTCAGCCTCCCAAGGATAGGAAGTTACAGACCTGTGACACTGTTTGAGAAAACGTTACCTTTTCCAGGGTCTGCCTTACATTGTGGCAGAAGTAGGAAGGAGAGAAAACGTCTGTTTTCACTCACAGTTTCAGGGTATGTCCATCACAGCAGCAGCAGGGAAATCAATGTGACTAGAGTCGTGGGAGCTGACCCCACAGTCAGGGACAGAGAGTGAGGGATTCAATCCAGTGCTCGTCTGGCTTCCTTTACTCTTGGGCAGTTCAGGACATGCTGTCTCCTAGGGAACGATGCTGCCCACAGTGGGCTGGGTCTTCTCATCCTCGTTAATATAATCAAGACAGTCTCTCACAGACATACCAACAGGCCAGCCTGAGCTACACAGTCCCTCACTGAGGTTTGCTTCCTAGGTGAACTAGACTGTACCAAGTTCACAGTCAAAACTGACCATCACACCTCACCGGTGGAAATGAAGATAACTCCTCTATGTCTTCTTTCAAAACTTTACTGTTAGATGGATAATCCATCCAGAATTGGTTGATTGTGTGTGTATGTGTGTGTATTAGTGTGGATACACATATGTGGGATGTGTGTGCACATTTGTGTAGAGGTCAGAAGTCAACCTTGAGTGTCATCCCTCAGGAGTCAGCCACTTTAATTTTTGGAGACAGTCTCTCTGACCCAGAGTTCACCAAGTAGGCTGGCCTGGCTGGCTACTAAGCTGCACAGATGCTCCTGCCCGGGATACAGGCATGTACCAGCATACTTAGTTTTTTTCTTCTTTAAAAACTATCTTTTATTTATTCTCTGACAATTTCATACATGTGTGCAACATGTCTTGCTCATGCCCACTCCCAACTCCCCTGTCCCACTTTCCCCCCAGTCCACCCCCCAACACATTTCCTTTCCAGCTCTGTGTTCTTTCCTATGTTTTTAAGCCCACAGACACTGGTCAGGGCTTCCTGTTGATCTTGTTCGGGTCTTGTGTAGGTGGCCATAGCTACAGTAAGTTCGTGAATGCAATGGCACGCCATGTCCAGCATGTCACAGCATTCTTCCCCATCCTCTGCCTCCTCTCCTGGGATGATCCCTGAGTCTTGGGTCTGGGGGTTGGGCCGGGCAGTTTGTTACAGATGTCCCATTTAGTGCTGACGCTCAACAGTGACTGTGTTCAGCACTTTGCACAGTTATGAGTCTGCATTAACTGCTGCACGCTGCAGAGAGATGTTTCTCTGGATAAGGCTGAGAGCAGCAATGACCTATGGGTAGAAGGGAAACACTTAGAAGGCAGTTTGACAACTTGTCCGTTAAGCAAAACAACAGGGGTAGGTGGCCCCTAGGAGCTCTGACCTCCCAAGCCATGAGCCTCTGATGACGCTTACACAACTCAGCAGGAGTTCCCTTCTGTGGAGTAGCCTCGAATCCAGCCGATAACGGTTGGTTACTCTGTAACCATCATTCCACTATTGTCTAGCAGGTTGGTGGGATTGAGCAAGACCGTCAATGTTTTTGTTGTTGTTTTGTTTTTAATGTGGGTTCTGGGGATCCAACTCAGGTCCTCATGCCCTAACCTATCTTCTCAGATCACAGAGGATTGATTTTTGTATACAACATGAGGTAGTGGTCCACTTCCACTCTTCCCCACCATGAGTCAGTTCAAATGAATCAGCCCCGAATAGACTCTGAGGCTGAATGCTGGGTGATTTGGGGAAAGTTTCTCAGCACCTCTGTGCTTCTACTTCCTCATTTTTTCTTGTTTATTTAATTTGCTGTTCTGGATATTGAACATAGAGTGCATGCTGGGAAAGCACTCTACCACTAGGCTCCATCCCTGTTAACTCATGTATAAAATGGGGTTTAGAGCTGTGTGTAGTGGCGCATGCCTTTAGTTCCAGCACTTGGGAGGCAGAGGCAGGCAGATCTCTGTGAGTTCGAGGCCAGCCTGGGCTACATAGAGAGTTCTAGCCTCATCAGAGTGACATGGTGAGACCCTGACTCCCAAAGGGAGGGTGGGGTGAGGAGACAGGTCAGTCAGTAAATGCTTGTCGTGCAAGCATCAAGACCTGAGTTTGGATTCTGAGAACACACATAAAAAGCCAGGTGCCACTGCGTGCACTGTATCCTAGGGGAGGTAGAGGCAGAAGGATCCGTGGGGCCTCTGGCAGCCAGCACAGCCAAATTGATGAGCTCTACATTCAGTGAGGAACCCTCTGTCAAACCATAAGAGGAGCTGAGTGGTGGTGGTGCACACATTCAATCCCAGCACTTGGGAGGCAGAGGCAGGTGGATCTCTGTGAGTTCGAGGCCAGCCTGGGCTACAGAGTGATTTCCAGGACAGCCAAGGCTACACAGTGAAACCCTGTCTCGAAAAACAAAAACGAAACAAACAAACAAACAAAAAAACCCACAAGTTGGGACCCCTAGAGGAAGACACCTGGCCTACCTACTTGAGCAAGTGTACATGTGTACATGTGCACCCACACTCAAGAATGTACAGACATGGGCATGCACACACATAAGAGCTGGCTTTGGGGGTTTGGGGATTTAGCTCAGTGGTAGAACGCTTTGCTAAGGTCCTGGGTTCAATCCTCAGCGCTGGGAAAAAAAAAAAAAAAGAGCTGGCTTTGGTGTCATGAAGAAAAGGACTGTGAGGGGCCACGAAGGCTTGAGTCATAAACTCTAGTTTCCGTGGGTCTGTTAGGGCAGAGCCCAGGGTATGCGGTGAAGCCAGAATTCTGTGGTGTGTGTGTATTAAAGGAACAGAACTGATAGAGTGAATATATATGTGTATATATATATATTCATGTATTTATTTAGAAATATTGGAGATTTGTCAGAGTGGCTTACAGGCTGTGGTCCAGCTAGTCCAACGATGGCCGTCTACCAATGCAAAGTCCAAGAATCCAGTTGCTCTTCAGTCCCCAAGGCTGGATGACTCAGCTGCTCTTCAGTGTATGCTGGAATCCCAAAGAAGCAGGCGCTAATGCTAGAGAAGAAATGGACTTCCAGTGAGAGCAAGGGCAAGCAGGCAAAGAGAAAATCTTCCTTCTCCCATGTCCTTCATAGAGGCTGCCGCCAGAAGGTGTGGCCCAGGTTAAAGGTGGAGCTTCCCCCCTCAAAAGATCTGGATTTAAGGTGTATTAAGAAAAAACAATCTATCACAGGTGTGTAGAGGGAAGTTTCTCTGTGTCCTGCCCGGCCCCTCGGTAGGGACAAATCTCTCCTACCCACATTCCCGCAGGTGCTTATAAAATAATTACTTATATTAATTACAAACTGTATGGCCTGTGGCTTCAGCTTCTTGCTAGCTAGCTCTTTCATCCTAAATTAGCCCATTCCTATTAATCTATATGTCGCCTCGTGGCTGTGGCGTTACCACAGCCTGGTAACTTGTTGCTCCTTCAGCAGCAGGCTGGTGGCTCCCAACTCCACCCTTTGTCTCTCTGTATCTCTGCTTGGATTTCCCACCTGGCTGTAAGCTTCCTTGTCATAGGCCAAAGCAGCTTATTTATTAACCAATGGGAACAACATATATTCACAGCGTACAGAAAGACACCCCACAGCATAGGTGTACCCAGCTTCTTGGATTTTAGCTAATTCCAGTGTAGTCAGGTCGACAACCAAGGACAGCCATCACAGTGTGTAAGGACGGGAATACTTGTTAGGTTGTACGGCACTCGTGAGGCTTCATTCTAGCACTCAGATGTAGAGGCAGAAGGATTTGTTGCAAGTTCAAAGCCAGTGAGGGCTTCGTGGCCAGCTCCAGGAGGGTAAAACTTCACAGCACACCCCTGTAAGATCAGGCTGGGATGTAGCTTCGCTGGCAGAGCGCTTGCCTAGCATGCACAAAGCCCTGGGTTCCACCCCCAGCACTGAATAAACTGGAGGTGGGGATGGGGGTTTGGGGTGGGGGTGGGGTGCAGCCCTGTTAGCCCCCAACTCAGGAGGTGGAGGCAGGAAGAGCAGGAGTTCCAGGTCAGCTTCCCTTGGCTGCATAGTGATTTCAAGGCCAGCCTGGGTTATGAGACTCTGTCTAAAACATAAAATACAAATAAAGTTGTTTCGTACAGGTGTGGCTTACATACCCTAAGTAGCCTGCCTACCTGTGGACCAGCCTCCATCCAGTCTCGGCCACTGCTGACAACCCTCACTTCCCCCTCCCTCTTCACTGCACCAGGGATTCCTAGTCTACCTTTCCTGCCTCTACTGATTTGCCTTTTTCTGGGCATTTTATATAAATAGGATCATAAACTCTGTGGTCTTTCTCTCCAGCTTCTTTTTCCTTAGAAAAATACTGCTGTGGTCCATGGCGTTGATAGCGCCTCATCTGTGGGCTGGAATTCTGCTAGGTGTGGGTCTGGTCTGATTGTGCACTTACCATGTAACAGACAGCTGGTTTAGTCATGATTGGAAAACCACTGCCATGAATGTCACATGTGTGTCTTCCTGAAAACTCACCTCTTGATTCCTCTGGGGTAGATGGATCCTTGAGTTTGCTGATAACTCCTGCTTAGCTTTCTCAGAGTTACTAAGCTGTAGCTCAAGCAGTGGCAACACTTTGTATTCCTAGTAGCAGAGGTAGGGTTATGAGATATGGAACCCTCCCCGATGCTTAATACTCTCTTTCTAGTCAGGGTCTCCAATTCACTATAGGGCTGCGCTATGTAAGTGAGGCTGGTCTTGAACTCTGATTCTCCTGCCTCTGTCTTCCAAGTGCTGGGATTATAGGTATGTTCCATACCTGGTTTATGTAACACTGGGCATGGAACCCAGGCTTCATCCATACAGGGACACACTCTACCAACAGAGACAGACCAGCTCTGATACTGTGTTTGTGTGTGTGTGTGTGTGTGTGTGTGTGTGTGTGTGTCTCGTGCGTGTGCACATGTGTGCATAGGTACACATGTATGTGGCGGTCACAGGTTGATTTTGGGTGTCTTCCTCAATCACTTCTCTATTTCATTACTCACTGGATACTCACTGATCCAGCTAGGCTGCCTGGAGAGCCTCCCCAGGGTCTTCCTGTCTCCATACCCCACCCTCAGGGCAGAGATTACAGGCGTGGGCCACCACACCAGGTTTTTACATGGGTTCTGGGAATCTGAACACAGGACCTCATGTGGCAAACACCTTATGGACTGAGCCATCTCCCCAGCCTCTCCCACATTCTTTTTTAAAAGTATTTATTTTTATGTATGTGTGCCTGATTGTACAGAAGTACACCACATATGTGCAGGAACCCTGGGAGTCCAGAAAAGGCATTGGATCCCATGGTACTGGAGTTATAGACTGATGAGAGCTGACGTGTGGGTGCTGGAACTGAACCCAGGACCTCTGGAAGAGCAGTCAGTGCTCTGCCGAGTCAGCTCTCCAGCCCCCTCTGATGCTCTTGATTGTAGTGGGTAGCATGAGTTGTTTGCCTCATGGAATACAGACAGAGTCTGAGAAACAGGTGGATGTGGAGGTGTGAACTCTTGGTGGAGATTCGGACCACAAATAAGCCTTGGTCAGAGATACACTTGGTCAACCAGTTAAGAGCAATTTCTTACACATGCTGCCATTCCAATTCCCGGAGGTAAAGCTGGAGTTCAAAGTCACCCCTGGCTATACAGGCCAGCCTGGGATACGTTAGACCCTGTCCTCCCATAGGGGCTGGGGGCTGGAGATGTAGCTCAGTGGTAGGGTGTTTGCCTAGCATGCATGAGCTACTGGACTTGATCCCCAGCACTGAAGAAAAATATCTTAAAGAAGTACTTCAACAAGGTAAAGGCAGATGGTGCTAAGGGCTGACTTCAGAGGTGGCCAGGGAAATTTCTTCAGGTAATATTCAGCCATGTTGGAGGTAGGGGTATGAATCCAAGACAGAATGTGTGCTTAGCATGTATGAGGCCCTGAGTTCCATCCCCAGCACAGAAGACAAGCAAACACAACCAAAAATAAATTATAATAATAAATAAAATTAAAAATAATGAAACAAAAATGACCTTCAGGACTGGGGAAATGGCTTGCCACGTGAGCATGAAGACCTGAGTTGAGAAGCCCAGGGTCCACTTTAATGCTGGGCAGGTGACCCAGACATCTGGGAGGGAGAGACAAGGAGCTGGCTGCATGTCTAGATTAGTAGATTGGCAAGTTCTTGGTTTGACTGACAGACCCTGACTCAATAAACAAAATGATGGAAGAAGATACCTGATATTGACGGCAGATATGTACGTCTGATGTGAGAAGAGGGTATCCCCTGTGAGAAACACCCCTCCCCCACAGTCCCTGGATGGCTCTGCAGTTAAAGCCTTTGCTGAACAACCATGAGGGTGTTGTCACACAGAGTCACACTCGTGCCTGGGACTGAACCTCTGAGGGGACACAGAAGCAGAAAGACCATGGGGCTTTCTGGCTTCCAGTTAGCCAAACTTGAGCCCGGGTTCAGGTAGAGACTGTGCCTCAAAGGAAGAGATGGAGAGCGTACAGAACAGCCGATGCCCTCTCCTGGCCTCCACACATGCGCTAGGACCCACGTGGCAGAAGAGAGAACAACGTCCCACGAGTTGTCCCCTGACTCCTGTGTCTCAGCACATCCACAAACAAACAATAAGTAAAATGTAATTAGAAATTTCGAAAAAGAAAAAAAGCCCCACACCACTCCAAGCAGACAGAAAGGGAAGCCATATCCCCCTTCTCCCCCCTTCCCACTTCCCAGTCTCCACCTGCTCCTCCCAAGGCTTGTGCTGGACAGGAAGCCAGGGGGCAAATTCCTAGGAAATGCCATTTTCTGGAGGACAGGGCAGGTTGCTTACCCCACCATGGCAGAGACTTGAGTGAAGGACATGAACAGGCCCACAGGAGCCAAATAAATGCGCAGAATCAGGGAGTACGGGAAGGTGGAAAGACCTAGACATGGAGAAAGTAGAGAGGCAGGACCAGCGAGAGGAAATGATAAGGGGATGAGTATGGAGCCTGGAAGGTTACGAAATTACATTTATTTTGTGTGCACGTGCTATGGCGAGCATGTGAAGGTCAGGTGACAATTTGAGGGGTCAGCTTTCTCCTTCCACCATTGGGTCCTGTTGATCAAACCCAGGATGTCAGGCTTGGTGCCTTTATCCACTGGGCAGTCTTGCCAGCCCAGGAAGGCTATTTGATATCTTTAGTTAGAGGAGCTTGGGAGGCATGGAGGATTGGAAAGAGGAGTGTTCTCTAAGTACTCTTAGTCCTTACAGCCGGTTTCCCAGCACCCAAGGTGAGGAGGTGAGAAAGTGAGTCATTCTCTAGGCCAGGAGACCCACCACAGCCAGGTGACCTTAGATTCCTCCCCTTCTTGACTAACTGGCTTATTCCCGCTCTAGTTGGCTCTGTGGGCCCCAGGTCCTTTGCACTGAGGTTTCCCCACCTTGGAAAATCTTCTCCTGGAACTGAAATGGCTCCACCCTTCACCTTCTGGTGTGGCCTGTTACCTTCCCTAGTCACTGGGTTTAAAGGTGTGCTTCTGCCAGGCGGTGGTGGCGCATGCCTTTAATCCCAGCACTGGGAGGCAGAGCCAGGTGGATCTCTGTGAGTTCGAGGCCAGCCTGGGCTACCAAGTGAGTTCCACAAAAAGGTGCAAAGCTACACAGAGGAAACCTGTTTTGAAAAACAAACAAACAAACAAACAAAAATGTGCTTGTGGGCTGGGGACATGACTCAGTCAGTAGAATACATACCGTCCAAGAACAAGTTCAGATGCCCAACAGCTAAATCAAAAGTCGGATGGGGCATGCCTGCCCTCCACTGCTGGGGAGGCTGAGACAGGAGGCACTCTGCGGCTCCTAGACTGGCCAGCTTAGCCGAATCAGGAAGCTTCAAGTTCAGTGGCAGACCTTATCAAAAACCAAAAAAAAAAAAAAAAAAAAAAAAAAAAAAAGTGGGGTGTGGCTGCCCATGCCTTTAGTCCATGCACCCCAGAGACAGCGGAGCTCTGTGAGTTCCAAGCCAGCCAGGGCTACATAGTGAGTCTCAAAACTAACTAACTAAATAAAAAGACTAAATT